CTTGTAATCTCCTAAATAATGCCTGGGCATGGTTTAGGAACCAGCACAGGGACCATCTCAAAGAGAGCTTGAATTTGGCCTCCCAGCTTTGGAGACAATGTTAGTAGTCAAGACTGTAGCTGCCTGGTTTCAGTGCAGCTTGGGAGCAGCTCTAGAGCCTCCATAGGTACACAGCTGCATATCACCCTGTGGAAGGTTCCAGGAAAGAGTGTTCTCACCCAGCTTACTCACCGCTGCTGGAGCTGACAGTGAAAGTAGGGGGTGAAGGGCCGGCAGGGCCATGAGGAACTTGCACTGGACTGGGGGGAGTGGGAAGCTGCACCCCAGGAGTGCTCACGGTTTATGCACGCAGCAGAGACAAATAGCTCTTGCTACCAGCTCTCAGCTCTGCCTTGCTTCCAGGAGTTGCTGCCTAAAGGATGACTGAACTGTGTGTGCAATGACTGTCAAACCATTCCACTTCATGTCTTGACGTTAAATTAAATGTGGATACATGCTGGATGAGCTTAATATCCAAGCCTTTAAACTTGGAGGAGGGGGTGATGTGGGGCTTTGTGGCACAGCAGACCTCAGCACAAGATGCCTATGCTGAGAATGGGGTGGAAAACGAGGAGACACGCCACGGTCTAGATGAGTAATAAAAAGATGACTGCAAGCTGCAGAAAGGAGAAGCTGACTTCATTTAACTCTTACCAGGACACAGGCCAACCAGGCCAGCAATTACTTATTTAGCTGTAGGATAGGAACCCATAATATCAAAGTGTCCTGACATGCACATCATCCTAACCCACATGAAGGGCTAATACTAATTATCTGCTGAACTTGCAACATACCCATTACAGCAATCCCGAGCCGGCTGGGTGGGGTCAGTTTTTATTGTGTCTCACAGCCCAGAGCAGCTGGTGCTCCACACCCTGCCTGCTGCCCTGCACACGGTGTCACCCGGCCACCGCCGAGCCCGCCCGGCACACGGTGTCACCCGGCCACCGCCGAGCCAGGTGTCCTTTGCCCGCAGGATTGGGAGCAGTTCCCAAACCACGGAGATTCTCGTGGCAGGGAAAAAGCAGAGGCTGGAGGTGCCTTTTGTTTTTACTTGCCACCATTTCTGATTCATGCACTGGGTGAAATGGTGGTAGAAATCTACCTGTGCCAATTCCAAATTCTCTTGGGAAATAAGTATTGCTGCTGACAGATCCCTTGGAAAAGGTGGGAGCAGGTTTTGCACAGAGAAGCAGATTTTGCTAACCAGAGCTGCACTGTCCTGATGACGAATTAATTCTGTCTTCCACCCACACAACACGTACAACTCGTAATATAGAGGAGTCAGCCACAAGAGAAGAAAAAACAGACAACCTACTGTACAATCCAAACCACTCCCTAAGATGATCCAAACCCATCCTTTGCACAGAAGTATTGGAAGCTGGGTTCTTACTGTGGGAAGAACATTCTCAAAGCACTCTTAAAGAGCTGTATTTCCCTTGATGCTGAGGATGAATAATGTTCTTCACCTGGTGGAAGGAAACTCGGGCCACAACAGTAGTCCAGTGGATGATGGATGAGGAGCTGCATTGTGGGATGAAATCCCAGGAGAAGTCAGCCATCAGAGCTCAGCATGCTGTTCTCCTGGCACTGCTTCTTCCTCTGTTGCTTGTGGGAGATTGCCAAGAAACAATCATAAATAACCAGGAGAGAACTGTCTTACCTCACTGTCAGCTTTCTCACATACTCTTGTCTCTGCTTGGACCCAGAAGCTCTTTCTAGAGTTCAGCCTCTTCCAGAAAAAACAAAGTGTTGCCAAAGAGCAGGGACTCTTCTGAGAGGATGTGGAATCCCTTTTCACAGGTATTACACTAAAACTCTATGAAAGACTGGCAACATCTTTTGTCATTTTAAGCAGGCAGCTAGGGTGTGAAATACAGTGGATAAAGATACTTTTCCCAGCTCCTGAAATGGAAGCTACTAAGGGCTCACCTGGAAGAGATGTTCACCCAGAGCCATGAGAGAGGTGTCCCCGCTGCAGCTCTCCTCACCTGCTGGATCATGAGAGCCAAAGGTGACCACAGCAGCATAAAGCCTTTGCAAGAGGCAGGGAAGAACTGAGCAGTTTGCTGCCAAACTCCTCTCGGTCTGCCTCACAGCGTCTGAGACCATGATGTTTAAACCTCAACTCCTGTCCATCCCCCATGAAAAGCAGCTGAGGAAGGAGTGTAGTGAAAAAATCTTGCAAATTAAAATCAGGTGCCATGCAATACCTGCAGACAGCCAGGTGCATATTTCTACCCAGTGGATGGCACTTACAAGCCCGACTATTACCAACAGATGTAAATTGGTGCAAAACTGTCTGTGAAGCCTTCACTGTTGTACCAGCAGTGCCTATAGTGGGGCACTGCCCCTCTATAGCTCCCACACTTTCCAGCACCAGTCCCGTGCATGACCTTGAGGCAGCACAGGTTTGAGCTATTCCAAGAGCATATACATTATCTTACTGAGGAATCTCTTCATCCCATCCAGCCCTGCAGAAACACAGCAGAGGAACAGGCAATGGCTCTGCATTACAAGTTTTTCCACACCTCTCCCTGGTTCCTTTGCGTCTTGTCGAGGGTTAGGTTTACTTAGGGAATTTTTTTCCCATAAGTTTCTAGGAAACACTAACGACTGGGTACTTGAGAAAAACAGAAGAAATGGCCAAGCTCAGGGGAGGAGGGCATCTGGTTGCACTTATCTGTGAGTTTCTCTCTGAGGGGCAGAGATAGGCGAGAATTGGGCAGCTAAAGGACGGGGCTGGGGCAGCTGCTGGCTCGCTCCCTGCTTTGGAAGAGGGGTCGGAGCTGCTGCTGCCCGAGCCCAGCCCAGAGCTGTTTCTTCTGTCGTGGGGTGAGCCTCTGCTTGTGAGAGCAGCCACTGAGCCTTATTATCACCTACCTAAGAGCAGGTCCTATCCTCATCTACTCGGGTGCCCGGGATCCTGAGCCCGCCTCTCGCTGCCCTGCTCGGTGCCAGGCTGCCGCTGTCCCAGCCTGGCTGCTTCTTCAGCACTGCTCTGAGCTCTCGCTGTACTGCAGCCCCACAATCCCTGCCTGCCGCTATACGTTGCTGGCCCAGCTTGGTGCTTCCAAGAGTCCTGCAGGGTCACTGGGATCGGCTGCCCCAGAGGGGTTTGTGAAGCAAAGCCTCCCTTCCATCCCTTCCCGTCTGGGCACTGGGACCGACACTGCCCCAGGGTTTATAAACCAAAGCCACTCTCCCATCCCTTCCCGTCTGGGCCCAGCCGCCATCACCGCGTGCTGCCCGAGCCCTGCCCACAGCGCCCCCTGCAGGCCTGGAGGAATCATCGCCCCCGCCCCGCCCGGGGAGCAGCAGCGCCTCCTGCTGGCCATGCCTGGAACTGCACCAAGGAAAATGCCCGCGGGCGAGAGGGGTCACTGGGCTCCTGCTCGGGTTGGTGTTAGTGCTGCAGCTGTTGTTTGTTTGCTTTATTATACATGCCAGTAAATAACTGTCATTCCAATTCTTGTATGTCTGCCAGAGAACCTCTTAATTTCAAAATTTAATAATTCAGAGGGAAGGGGTTTGCATTTTCCATTCCAAGGGAGGCTCCTGCCTTCCTTGGCAGACACCTGTCTTTTCAAACCAAGACACTTCCCTTTTTTTTTGCACAGAAAAATATTTTCCTCTTTTCCACACTGAAGAAACCGCTTTTCATTTCTGTTTTCTGGAAGGCCTTGGTTTGGTGCTACCTGTTTAACTTGTTATCGTTTTTGTGAGATTCAGGGTAGTTTGTATAAACGAGGCCCACCAGCTTTAGGACTGCACCTGAGAAAAGATAATGACAAGCCAAGATGCAAAGCCATATCCCCGTCCCATTCCCTTTTCTGTGAGATTACAGTGAAAAGGTAGAAAAAGATGGGAGATATATTGTTCTCAGTAGTATCTGGCTACAGAGGATTAATTTTATTACTGGCCCAGCTGGGGAAGAATGGTCCCATCACTGTCCCCACTTTAAATACCATAAGTTTCGACTTTGGTTGCTCCCCAGGTATCCCATTGAAAGCCCCAGATTCCAGCATAGGGAAGATGGATGTTTCACCCCAGATGGATAATTTTTCTGGGAAACATCTTTGTCAGGTGAAAATTAGGTTGATGTAGCAGTGACTGCCTCCCTTAGAAGGCATTTTCATACTGTTACCTGCAGCTGGTGGTGCAGTGGCATTCATGGAAAACTGGGAGGTTTAACAGGTCAGCATTCGGGGATTTTGGTTCTGTAGCCGGCAGCCGCCCTAAATGCTGAAACAGAACCGGCAGAACAGGGCCAGTAAAGGAGAGTCTCTCGTACCTGTATTGTCCCCATAGAAGTTGTTTGGGGGTCTAAACCAAACCTGGGGGTTTAAACCAGGTCATTTACCCACTCTAGACAGAGATAGGTTTCATAAAAAGAAATAATGGTATGGGTTGAAAGGGAGCTTTGAAGATCAGCTAATTTCAACCCCCTCATCCTGGGCAAGGACATCTTCAACTAGACCAGATTGCTCAAAGCTCCATCCAGACACTGCCAGGGATGGGGCAGCCACAGCTTTTCTGGGCAACCTGTGCCTCAGAACTCCCAGAGTAAGAATTTATTCCTAAAATCTAATCTAATCCTACCCTCTTTCAGTTTAAAACCATTGCCCCTTGTCCTGTCACAACAGGTATTGTAAACAGCCCCTCTCCATCTTTCTCGTAGGCCTTCTTTAGGTACTGAAAGGTTGCAGTAAGGTTTCCCCAGAGCCTTCTCTTCTCCAAGCTGACCAACCCCAACTACCTTGGCCTGTCCTCACAGGAAAGGTGCTCCACGTCTCTGATCATTTTCATGGTCTCCCTCTGGACTCATTCCAGCAGGTCCTTGTCCTTCCTGTGCTGAGGATGCCAGACCTGGATGCAGCACTGCAGATGGGGTCTCACATCAGCAGAGTAGAAGGGGAGAATTAGCTTCCTTGACTTTAAAGTGTTGTAACTGCATCTTGTCTTCTATCCTAGATTTTGTCAACCAGAAGCCCACCAGGCCCAGAGAACAGCAACCTCGACCATCAGTGAGTATCCCCTGTTTTCATGGTATCTTCGCGGGGGGGAAGCAGGTGGAATAAAGGGACCTTTGTGCTATTTCTGCATTCCTCACATTGTGCAAAAGAGCTGGGAATGGTGTGAAATGGTTTATAGCCCTAAATATTCTGCCCATTTACTTATTTGCAAATTCTGAAAAAATCAGGTGCTGCTTGAAAAGATCCAGGCTCCAGCTCAAGTGTAGTATAGAGGTCGTGAGCAATCAGAATTTAGTATGTCCACATGTCAGAGACACACTTTGGAATAGTTAGTGCAAAGCTGTGGAGAATGGCTCCAACAAACAGCTCAGGCCCTGATTCACCTGTGGGCTCTGCACTGTGTGGAAAAGGAGAATAACATCTCTTTGCTCCCCAGGAATCATACGAGAAAGCCCATGAGATGCTCCAGTGCTACAACAGTTAGAGACATGAGTGTCCCTCGGGGATGGGGGAATGGTGGGGACCTGCTACTCTGGGTGCCAAACAAAAGAAATCTGAAATTTTCTATGAGCAAAAACTGCCCAGCAGAGTGAGCCTCCAAGTCTGCCTGCACCAGGAATGGGGACAGTTTAACACATGTTAAAAAACCCAGGTGAAATGAACAGGCTTGTAAAACCATCTTAAAAGATCACCTCCTTACATTAAAGAGCTACTCTCTTCAGCATCAAGCTCTGGCTGTTATCCAGCCCCTCTGCTCCTGCAGCACTCGAGAGCAGACTAATCTGCAGATGCTGGTCATGGGCTGTGTGACCCACTAAGGCCCAGCAGTGCTGGTGGATGTGTCAGCAGAGCCCAGGTACCCACTGCAGTCCATCCTCCTGCTCCTGCTCTCCCTCCCAGCTGGCAGGGAGCTCACCTGGAAGGCTGCTGCTTCCCAGAGCACTCAGAAAACACATCTGCCCTTGCCTTTTCTGATGGCAAGGCTTGTACAGGGACTTCAACGTCTCCTGTGCTTTCCAGCATCCTCAGTGGGCTTTGGGCTACCATGGCAACTAAGCAGTCTCCTCCTGGGGTGCACAGCCAGCCCTCCCAGGCCCCCATGCAGCTCCCCAGCCCCAGGCACCCACTGGCCCCTCACACCCTGCCAAGGCTTTCCTTCTCCCACCCTCTTTGGCATTCTGAGACAGCAGAAAATGTTTTCTGATCTGGGATGACAGAACAGGAGATTATTATCATTTACATAACATTTACTTTATACCCACTGCAGAGTCCCAAGGCACAGCTCACGTGTGAAGTGCCTGTACTGACTGAGATAAGCAGAGTTGCAATTTCTGCTGGCAAGGACTATGCAAACATTTTTTTTGGAAATAGCCCAGCACCCAGCAAATTTTTGAAGACATCAAATCAAATAAAATCAAATCAAGCCACGGAAACAGAGATTAATGTGCGTGAGTAGGTGTCTCATCCTTCACATTTCTGTGGCTGGAATCATTCTAGGTAAACACTCACTTTAACAACAGCAAAAGTCAGCCTTGTCTTGGTCGAGTTGCTGACTGAAGAAATTCCCATAAAGCCAATTAAAGGAGAAGCAAATGTCAAGGAAGGAGAAGAAGAACTAGGTAGGGAGAGTTGATAGTATCTGTCAGGAGAGCAGTCACACAAGACAGAGATGGGTGTGCACCTCCTGTCCTACAACATGCCCCTATGACACTGCACAGGCATCTAAAGCAGCCCCTGGGAAATACTTTGGATGTGCTCCTGGCTGGGCTGTGTTACCTCTCATCCTCCCTGCCCCAAAATCTTTTGGGAACCGCTCTCTATGGCCTGGTAGTTCACGGGTGGATGGCACAGCCCAGGCACACGGCAATGATTTGGTAATTGCTGCCAAGGCTCGTGTCACTGGCAGAGTTACCAGGGCGTTGTTTTGACCCATTTTTCAGCTGCTAGGTCTTGCAGAAGGCATCTTAATGATTAACCCTGGACTTCCCCAACCTCAGCAAAATGATAAAAACCACTGGCCTGGATTCACCCCCAACCTAGTTTTCAGCCACTTAACTCAGGTTTGTGCCTGGGAGCTTGTCACCCCGGTCACCCATCAGGGTCATTGTCACAGGAGCCTGCAGACAGCTCTCCCCCACACCAGGCACCTGCCTGACACCAGGGATGTGGCACTGACAGCCATCCCCACTGCTGGGGTCTTTCTCAAAGGTGGTTTTGCTCACTTTTGGTCTAATTTTGCCCTTTGCATTTCCTTCTCCACTTTGCATAGTTCCTTTGTCTTTAGACTTAACAAAAAACTCCCTCATAATTCCTGCTTCCTCTAAGAAACTTTAAACACCGAGAAGCCTGTAGCTGAAATGGAGCACATTTCTTGCTTTCCTTTTTCCTAAATTGCTTTGCTCTAGCCTCTTAAATCACTTTTATTGTTGCTTTCTAAACTCCCTCCAAGCTGTGAGCAGCCCAGAAACCTGCCCAGTAATCCTGATGGAGCTGCACTAGCCTTCTTTTTCCTTGCTGTCCTACCTGTAAATTCCCAAATTTCCACGATGCAAATTCCCCTCTTGTATGCTTTTCAGCTGACTTTTTCTCTCTCAGCTTTGCTCATTCACAGGTTTCTCTCCTTCCCCAGAATATCTCGGGTTTGAAAATCTTTCCACTCAAGGTGCTGACCTGTTATTTTCCTGGCTGGAAGGTCTGGTAGCCCTCAGGCAGACTCAGTGTGTTTGAAGCCAGGCTCTGCAGCCCTGGCACGTGGTGGCAAGAGGAGCAAGGTGCCTCCTCTGCAGCTGGAGCAGCTGGAGGAGCACAGGAGCAGGCCTGTGGTCCACCAGCTTTTGTCCTGTGCACATCCTGAGCTTGGGATTTCCCTGCCACAGTTTCTCACTGAATTCTAGGATCAGCAGAAATAGCTGCACCAATGTGCCTTTGAGATGGAGGGTTAGGTTGGGATGGCCTCGGGAGGTCTCTGGTCCAATCTCCTAGCTCTAGCTCCAAGCTGGATCAGCTGTGAAGTCAGAGCAGAATGCTCCAGGCTTTGTCCCATCAGGTACTGAAAGCCCCCAAGGATACAGCCTGTGCAACCACACAGCCTGTTCCTCTGCTTGCTGTCCTCAGGGTGCAAAAGTTTCTCCTTTTATCCAGATTAAAGCTTTCATTTTTTTTTTATTTTATTTCAGTTTTCCTGTATTAAATGGTGCAGAACTTTGCCACAAATATAGAAATAGTATGAACAGCAGCTTGCTTTTCCTTTGCTCTTGGAAGAAATGCAGCTCTCTCTTTTTCTCTCAGTTCTGGAGTGTGCATAGGAAGTGGAGTCTGCTTTTGTTTTTTCAAAAGCACATCTGTGTCTCAACGACTATTACCTGGAGGTTTTCTCCATGAGAACCAAAGCATTGAGAATAATTAACAGTGGGAAATTATGTAACTGCTGAGAGAAACAATGGCTCTTCTGTGGGCCTGCAAGCAAGCTTCCAGGAGCTCTGCCTCCTACCCATCATGTAACATAAAATTAGAGGATTGTCACAGTATGAGTTTAAATCAGTAAATTATGTGTTTTAACTCAGATTTCTGCACTTCCTTTTCCCATTATTGCTTTGTAAATGCTGCTGTATGGTTCCAGCTCTTGGACTTGTAGCTTTCTTCTCAGGTCTTATTTAGTGCAGTGGAAATCAGATACCCTGCAGCCCTCAGCAGGAAAATGAATAAAAAGAATAAGCAGAGGAGTCTGGTTGTTAAATCTTGCTGCTAGTAGAACTTGCCATCAAGGGCATAGTGCAGTGTAAGTAACTGTAGAATACCTACACTACCCAGTGTCACCAGCTGGCCATCAGGTGACTCCAGGAAAAGCACCAGGCTATTTCTGACACGGGGGGGCATGGCATAAACACGGCTGGGTCAGAGCAGCTGGGCTGTCAGGAGCCCCTGTGGCCAGGGCAGGTCAGAGCAGAGAGAGGGTTGCACTGCACTGTGGCCACTCACTCCGAAGCTGCTCCTGTGGGAGGAGCACTGAGGATGCTCCCTGGCCCAAGGAGAGCAGTAGGAAAGCACCTCCTCTATAGGAGAAAGTGTCCTTGGAAAAGCATTTCAGGGTTCTTTTCTTCAATTCTGATTCTACGTTTACATACCTGCTTAGGGGCAGTTTCTGTGATTCCATCTAGTAAATGAGTCCTCAGTTTTTTTCACTGAAGTATGCTAATGATGAATTTTGTTCATGCCAGCTGCAAGAGCAATGGTTGAGATAGATCTCATCCTTAGAGGAATTCCTCCTTAGAGGAGTTCAATAGATCATACATGGTGAGTCTGGAACAGATCTGGAGCCATGCTAGTGACTGTGAAAATCTCTCCTCTTTGGCAAAGAACTAAAAACCAAAACATTTATTTTTTGTTTACTTGTTCTTCACTAGTGGATGGTCACAAACTCTTGGTTGACATGGTATGGCAGAGCACTTTACAGTTTGGATTTACCAGCTCAATTCTCCTTAGCTCTGCACCTCACCATTGACCTCCATTCCAAGGAGCCATGTGTTCCAAAGCCTGACAGCCTGGCTTGCTCACCTCCCAGATCTCTACAAGGCCAAGGAGGAGCCCTCATTTGTCAGCTGCTGGCTCCTCTCTTGAGTCCTGGAGGGTAAGATCAAGGAGACTTCATATTTTGGTTGAAACTCAGATCCCTTAGAAATAAACACAAAATAATCTCTTTTTTGCATAAAGCATTAAAAGTAGCATAAAGATTACACTGTCCTTCAGCTGGGCCTGGAGCCTAACTCGAAAGGTTCTGGGAGCTTGATGTGGAGCATTGTAAGGGTTGTACTGTAACGAGCTCACAGACTAAACTGGTGCCAAGTGATAGCAAATGTCAGCAGGCAGTGTGCCAATGGGGTATGGGAACTAGACATGACAGAGTATCTGTGTCTTGGCAAGCCACATGCAGCTCGTTCTTTCCATTCACAAAAAAAAAGGAAGCAAGGGCCTTCTTATATCCTTCAGAGCCTGATTCTCTCCCATGACACCAATAATTCATTCCCTTCCATGACAGGTGCCCAGAAAGCAACAAGAAGCCACTGGGGCAGTCCTCAATATTATATGATTACTCGGAGGAGGAGCTGATGGCCAGCATCGAGCGGGAGTACTGCCGCTGAAGCCAGCTCCCTGCATCGACATGCAGGCATGGTCCTGGAAACGCAGCTGAGCAGAACTGCTACTGACAACACAACGTCTCACACAGTGAGACAGCACGGGAGAGCTGGGTGGTGGAGGGTCCTGGAGCATCAGGGGCAGCAGGGCTGCTTGGGAAGCACAGAGGAGAAAGTTCACCTGGTCATCTCCGAGTGAGAGCATGAAGATCTTCACCAGCTGCTGATTTCTGACTGGTGCCACTAGAAGAGGGACCAATTCTTCTAAAGAATCAATATTTAGAAGCTCATTTCCAAATGCTATTTATAAATGAACATGTACTAGAATAAGTGTCATACTAGAGGTGTTGAAATGTGGTGCTTTGAAGGAAGATCTTGCTTTGAACTTAGTAAAAAAAATGCAGCAATATCACCTGATCCAGAACTTCAGAGAATATTGAATGAAATTCATGTTTCTGCCACTTAAAATGTGCCAAATGTACTCCTTGTGCTGTACTAGCCTCAGGTTCCAGGTCTGAATATGACACTGTCTCTTTCAATCTGGTCCCCAGTATGGGAGATGAGGAAAGGGGGATTGAGCCCACCATCTAGTGCATAGGCAGTGCAATCCCAGAGTTCAAATCCCACCACACTGACAAATTAGGCTCCTGGGAGCCGTCAGGGAACACAGGATTTGTATGATCCCTTTGGGGCAGGATCCCAGCATAGGTGTCCTACCTGGGGCTCCTGGTTATGGATCCCAGTCATGGGAGTGAAAGCAGGAGGCACATCCCCATTTCAGTCATCCTCCTCGAGAGGGACTTGCATGCTCTCGTAGAGCAGCTGTTTGGGATCAGTTTTCAGAATTGCCACTCCTGGCCTTTCCCTAATATTTCTTGTCCTACAAGAAAAATCACTGCATTTTACCATTAGCTGACTGCAAAGTAAACCAGAAAGTTCTCTCTCCTAAGGAAATAGTATTTTCAGTACTTCCAGACAGGGAAGCCTGATATTTGGGGTTTCTGCTTTTATTATACCTGCATCTTAACATATTATGAGTATCTGCTTATTATCAGAAGTAGAAAAATACTTTATTTCTATCTTCAGCTGAAACATAAAAGGCATCAGATGAAATTTTCATTACATGTAAAAGCAAAAAAAACCTGCAGGACACCTCATAAGATGCTGTATTTTACGTACTTTATGAATCCTGGGACCTGTGAAACAGAAATAAATGCATCTATACTCTGAAGCCCTCAGTGAAGGCATCAAATGTTCTGGAAAAGGCTCTCTCTTACATGGGAAATCATGCTCTGGTAGCTTAAGCAGGATGCATTCCTGAGGGATGCCTTGAGGGAGGCACTAGATCCACCCCTGGCACACAGACTCACACTCTAATTGTCTTCCCAGCAGCAGCCTTTGGCAAGGCTGGACTTTGTGCTCTGCCTGGGAGCTGGGGAGCCAGCAGGCAGCCCAGGGTGGGCAGTGGGAAGGGAGCCCAGGGTGGGCAGTGGGAAGAGATCCAGCTTCTCACAAAGCTGTGCCAGCTTTTGAAGGCAGGAGCTCCCAACACACCAGCTGGGGTGTGTCAATAGGACCGGGGATAATGGTTTTAAACTGAAAGAGGCTAGATTTGGGTTGAACATAAGGAAAACATTGTTCACTGTGGGGGTGTTGAGGCACTGGAACAGGTTGTGAATGTCCCATCCCTGGAAGTGTTCAAAGCCAGGTTGGATGGTGTTCTGAGCAGCCTGGTCTAGTGGAAGATGTCTCTGCCCACGGCAGAGGGGTGGGAATAGATGATCCTTAAGCTCCCTTCCAACCCAGGCCGTTCTATGATTCTGTGATACCTTCATGGCCCAGAAATAGTTGGAGTAGAGAGCAGATGTCCCTGCATTGTTGGGAGAAGTTGGGTGGGCCCTCTGGAGCAATGGCTCTCTAACCCTCCTGGAAAAAATCCAATTTTGAACAATAGCACTTCTTTCACAGGAACAGTCATTTTTAGACCTATTAAGGTCACTGATCTGTGGCAGGAACACAGTTTCCCTGCAGTTTATCAAGAGTCCACTCACTAGATCTCCCAGAGCTTGTGTTAGTTTTCAGCAGCTCTCAAAAGACCTACTGGGATGAACAGAATCTGCCTGTGGAGAGCAGAAAAAGCAGTGACCCCAGCACCACAGGGGACCACAGTACTCTATATTCATTTCTAATCACTACAGGTTTAGATTTTCTTTGAACTTGGATTTCATTCTTGCAGCTAGGACCTTCCTTCTGTCAAGGTCCCTGGAGTCTCTGGCACATGTGGGGAGATATTTCCATGAGCTCACAGCCTTCGTGAAGGCAGGGCCAGTGGATTGCTGCCTTTTTGGATGGCTTCCAATGACACAGCACACCAGAGGAAAGCCACGGTGCTGTCAGACCACGCTGTGACAGGAGCAGGCAGGGCCCAGGGCTCTGCCTGCCCCCAGGTCGCTCTGCATGTGCCCTGTGTGCCCTCACAGAGCTGAGGCTGTATTTGGTGACTGCCCCAGGTAACAGCTCTACAACCCATTTCAGACTCTCCTAAAGGAAAGCCTAAGTATTCACAACGACAGAAATTGACTCATGAAAAAGAACACCTAAACTGAACATGCTGTTAGGCTGCAAAGAAATCTCTCTACTGAACACAGCAAAGATCTCTCTCTACTGAACACAGCAATACTGAGCTGCTTTATAAAATGAGCTTCCAAAATAACCAAGAGACAAGCACGCTTCTGTACCTGGAACAAAGGTGCAGTGGGTTTCACAGATAACCTTTACAGCATCACCAGCAGAAAAGGAGGAGCTGCAGAAACACAGGAAGGTCCAGAAAGGAGTGATGCAGCTGGGACAGTCACTGCACCAGGGAAAAGGTGCAAGGAAGAAGTTTGGGGATGCAAGGAGGGACCTCAAACTGTGGTATGGTCTGCAGGCTTTCTCTGTGCTGTAAAATGATGTGTGCTCAGCACTGAGCTCAGACCACAGAGCCAGCCAGCACAGACAGCTCACAGCCATCTGTCTTATTCTCATACTGTGCAGAACAGGATGGTGGTACCCAACCAGGTTCCCAGTCTGCCCAGGAATTGATGGGGACTGTGCTCTTCCTTCTGTGTCAAACCTGCACCCAGCAGCATGTCAAAAAGGGACAGTGGCAGTGGGGCTGGTGCCAAGGAAGCCACAACTACAGATTAAGTACCTGGTGTCCGTGTAAGTCTGCTTTTGGTCCATCCTTTGCTCACAGAAAGTAGGACACTAGATCATTTGTAGGTAAACAGTAGTATGGAAGCAGTAGCTGTGCCCATGACAAATTTCAAGAGAAACTTCAAGAATTAATGGGTTTTTCAAAAAAAGGACAATTGCACCATAGAGACCACTTTGCCACATCTTAGGGAGTGAATGCTGGCATCCAACCAATTGAATTCCTAGAAAGTTCATTTTCTTTTCATGGTATTTCTCTATAACCACCATCAAATCACAACTGCTTGAAGGACAAAAAATTATTCAGCTTGCCAGTGCTTTCTGCCCTAAAACAGTTTGCTGGAATTAAGCAGGGTTCTGGAGAGTCTCTTATTCATCATTTTGGAAACCACCCTCCTGTTCAATACCCACAGCATAAGACAGGATAGCTGATGACAGCTTTTGAGCTGACACTATTATCTCCATTAATAAACTAGCAAAAGGCTATTATTTTTAACCAATCACTACATTATTCATCTAACAAAGACAAATGCTACATGCTGCATTTTGCACTAGTCCAAAAGGAGCGAGAGAGCCTTGCTGAAACAGAGCCCCTACCCCAGCAAGGAGGGCACAGGGACCCACAGGCCTGGAGCTGTGCCACAGGAACCTCGTGGAGCTGCCCACCACATTTGCCAGCTGCTTGGCACAAACCACATCCACAGCAGGGCTCCCCCTCACTTCACTCTGGACACAGGGCATGGCAGTTACTTGCACAGGGTGAAGTGGATTAATCTGGGCAGTGATAACCAACAGAAAAGACATCACTCTGAACTCAAGAGATGCTACAAGAGAGACGAGTAAACCTAAGGTGTTCTTCCCATCTGGGACAAACTCTCCTAGGGTATGCTCTAGCTTCCTCAGGTTTTCTGCATGTTTTAAGATGTGCCCATTGCCTTCTGTACACATCAACACATAAAACTCATCCATTTCCTTCTATACCTGAGGACTGAAGCAGAAAATGAGGAAGGCTGCATTTGACAGAGGATCCCAGGATAGCCTGGACTGTGAGATGTGGCTGAGGCTTTGCAGCTTCCTCCTGGACTGTCTCACCATTTCCTCAGCCTGCAGGTTGCTGGGTTTTGAGTCATGATTTACTCTTGCTGCAGACATGGAAGCAATTTGCCTTCTCACAGCCAGAGCCTGTCTGCCTCAAGCTGCCTTGCCAGACATGAATGGAAGGTAAACAGGCAGATGGGCTCACAGATTAAACTTCAAAACCAGTCAGACAGTTTATCCCTGCAGATGAACTCAAGCCAGAGGCAAGCCTGGAGCAGGACTCAGCTCAGGAGATGGCACATGAAGGATGTTGAGTAAACTTTCACAGCTGGAAACGGAAAGTTAGCCAGAGCTGTGGCCTCAGCTGGAGGAGCACACCAAGTGTGCACCCACCCCACAGCTCGGGCCACTTCTGCAGCATCGGAATGGATTCACTCTTCCAGTGTCCAGACTTCAAGAGGATCAAACTCCAGCTGCTGCTCAGTCCAAGGTTTGGCTGTACAACCACACAGGGTGGTGTGTGTAACAAGCAATGCCACTCTGACTGCAAGATGAAGCCAATAGACATGTTTGAGCACAAATCCATTGTCCTTTAGAAAATTATTCCTTTTCATGGATTTAGAATGGCTTCAAGACAGACTTGCCCTTAACAATGCTTGTGTCAGCAAAGGGGTAGTTGGGAAGGCTTCCTTGTATGGAGGCTGTTTTCTCTCACTGGATGAAGCTGTTCCAGACTCCAGCCCCATTAGGATGTGGACTGAGTGCACCTCCTGGCTGCATGGAACAGCTCAGACCACATCTTGGGTCTAAGGAAAAGCAGAAAGGTGAGCACAGACTCTGAAATCCACTGCCATGTCTCACATAAACAAAGCCGGGGGAAAAATCTAAAACTCAGCAAAAAAACCCAAAACAAGTATTCTTAGGGATATAATTGGATGCTCAGAAAAATCTTCTTTGAAAAATGGGAGTGGGGACAGGTAGGACATCTTTCCTGGGAGACAAAAGCATTGTGGCAACCTGCAGAGCCCAGGGGCTGAAGTTTGTGCTGTTCTGCTACAGCACTAAACCTACACCTAAGTTTTCCCTTCCAGTTGTTCTCCTGAGGGGGAAGCAGAACCATCCATGAGATGTCTTTTCATTTTCCTCACACTTGCAAGAACAATGTGCTCTTCTGTGGACACAGCCTTGAGTCACTGCTCCCAGATCACTCCCTGAGGGCTCTGCCTGCAGAGACTGAGCCACCTTGCAGTGAAAGGCTGTGACAAAAAGCTGGAATCATTACACCTTCTCCCCTTCTGATGGAAATAAACATTTCTGCAGTTCAGGAACCGGTCAGAGGGAAACAGCATAAAAATATAAGTAGTTGCTGCTGCTGTCACCATCACTGGACGCCTCCTTCCCAGGGAGGTAACACCCAGCCTGCCAGAGCCACTTCCCCACCAGAGCAGGAATAACAGGCCAGCACAGCCACCTTTTGAGTTAAATTCTCGTCTCTACCTTATTTCCAGCATTCACTCCATGCACAGCTTGTGACACAGCAGCACCCAGCACAGCCCTTTTGCTGACAGCTGCTGGAGGCCGGGCTGGAAGTGGTGTGGAGCCAGGAACTCTTGTTCCCAGAGAGAAGCCCCAAGGCCTGGTGGGGGTGTGCACCTTCTACCAAAAACATGAGACGAGTGGTGCAAAATCATAAAAGAGTGAGCACTGGTTAATTTACAACAGGATCAAAAAAATCCTGCCTTTACAGATAATTAATTAGCAAACCCCAAAGTCTTCCACTGGCCTAGACACACAACCTAATCGTGATTTACACAGTTCTGGAATGGACGCCTATGAAACCTGAAAATCCATGATTTTTTTTTTTATGACTTAAAACCAGTCACGTTACATATATTTTATTTAATAAAAGTTAAAAACACGTACAAAAATGCAGTTCCATTTCCTTAAAATATAGGCTCAAAATAAAAAGACTGAACAGTAGAGTTCAGGCAGTAAAGTGCAAAGACAGCA